GCAGTAGAAGCTTATCCCCGGCCACAAATTTTGTTAGTCTTTAAGGTACTCCTGGACTCTTACTCTTTTGTACTGCTACAGATAGACGAACATGGCTACCCATCTTGATCTATTTGCATGATCTTGGCCCACTTGTACACTCCTTCACCCAGGGTTGCCAACTCTGGGTTGGGAAATTCCTAGAGATTTGGGGGGTGGTACCTGGGGAAGAGAGGGACTTCAGCAGGGGATATAATGCCATAGCATCCACCCTCCAAAGCAGCCATTTTCTCCAGGGGAACTGCCCTTTGGAGATTAGCTGTAATTTTGGGAGGTCTCCAGGCCCCACCTGGAGGTTGGCAAGCCTACTCCCAGCCTACATCACAAGGTGGTTGTTGCGAGGATAAAATCCCTTGCTCTAAGTACGAGCCTACGATGTAACTTATCACATTAATACTTACACTTTGTTTCAGCTCTGTTTTCAAATTTCCACTTGGCTTCAGATTTCTGCAGTCCTAATCCGGTTTGTATTCCTTATGGGGACGTCCCATCCTGTTGATTGGATAGATTTAACACTGTGTAACCTGCCTTGAGTCTTCATTGGGAAAGGTGAGCCATAAATGAATAAAATACATAAATATGGAGCAAACCCCTTTAGGTCACTACTGGGAAGGAAGGTGGGGTATGGATCTCTAAATAAATGAACCTATCTTCTCTGACAGGGCGAATGTCTGCCCAAGACCATGAACAGCAGCTGTTAGAGACTAAACAATACAGACCTTAATGGACCAGCGGTCTCATAGGGTTCTCAGCTCTGGCCTGAGAAATTCTGGGAGATTTGGGGTAGGTGTCGAGGGGGGAGTTTGGAGAGGAATTTCACCTAGAATCTATAATATACCGTATGACTTCCCACAATTAGAAAAGATACCTTTACACATTTATCCCCTATTTTGACATAGGCCCCAAAGAGTGTCAGGGTCACAACACCGCCTAGTGACCCCGGGCCCTAAAGAGGCCAGGCTTGCTGCCACAAGGGCCAGGTCGTTTTCGGTGGCGGCTCCTATCTGGTGGAACGAGCTCCCGGAGGCAAAGCAGTACCGCTGGGTCAGGCTGACTGGCCATTGATCACCTGGGCCATAGCATCCCCTCTTAGACTCAGTATGCTGTGCAATAGGGAGTGTGTACGTATAGTCGCAATGGATCCTTGGGCATTGCCCAATGTAGTTAACTGTTTTAAAATGTTTTATTTGTTTTTATCGCACTGTGTGCCTTGATTGTGTTGACCATGGTGTTGTATTACACCAGTGTACTGTGAGCCACCCTGAGCCCGCGTGCGGGGAGGGCGGGATATAAATGCAATTAATTAAATAAATAAATAAATAAATAAATATATAAATACATTTATTGCTTTACTGACCTTTCCCCCTTAATTAAATCAAAACAAGTCTTGACCTTATAACCTTAGCTTGTTATGTAGTTTTGTCGTTGCATAGGTTAAAACATCTTCATCACGTTACATGTTGATTTGCTGTACAGCCTCTGTCTCTAAGTTTGAACTCTACCTTCCATTTCCAATGTATCTGAAACATGTGTGCATGCACATGGAAGCTCCGACCTTGAATAAACCTTTGCTGGTCTTAAAGGTGCCTGACTGGACTCTTTGTTCTACTGGAGATTTGTTCTACTGCTTCAGACCAACACGGCTGAACACCTGGAAATATACGGCAGTGTTTGTCTTCAAAAGCTGCCATTTTCTCCAGACAAACTGATCTCTGTAGCCCGAAGGACAATTCCAATTCTGGCAGAACTCCAGACCCCCTCCTCTTGGAAGGCGACAACCTGAAAGTCTGCTTCAGCATAAGGCAGTTTCACATGTAGGGTTGCCAGTTCCGGGTAGGGAAATACCTGGAGATTTTGGGTGGTACAGCCTGGGGTGGGTAGAGTCAGGTGAGATGAGGGACCTCAGCAAGGTCTAATGCCATGGACTCCACCCCCCAAAGCAGCTGTTTTCTCCAGGGGAACTGATTTTGGTTGTCTGGAGATCAAGAAGCGGTTTTCAAGGGGGATGAGATAGATTGATGGAGGAGAGGTCTATCAGTGGCTACTAGCCATGGTGACTAAAGGGAACCTTCACGTTCAGAGCGGGCAGTCACCCTTTGAATCCCAGAGCCAGGAGGCCACATCAGGGGAAAGTCTCAGCCTCTATGCTTTGTTGTGGGCTGTCCAGAAGAACTGGTTGGCCACTGTGTGAGACGAGGTGCTGGACTAGGTGACCCACTGGTCTGATCCAGCAGGGCTCTTCTCATGTTCTTATGAAGGCCTCAGCCTCTGTGCCCCATTGTTGGCCCCCCCAGAGGAACTGGCCAGCCACTATGTGAGGTAGGATGCTGGACTAGATGGACCACTGATCTGATTCAGCAGGGCTCTTCTGATATTCTTATGAAGGCTTTGGCCTTTATGCCCTGTGGTTGGCCCTCCAGGTTGGCCACTGTGTGAGACAGGATACTGGACTAAGATGAAGCACTGGTCTGATCCAGCAGGGCTCTTCTTATGTTCTTGTGAAGGCCACAGCCTCTCTGCCCTGTTGTTGGATCTCCAGAGGAACTGGTTGGCTACCATGTGAGATTGGAGTTTGGACTAGATGGACTACTGGTCTGATCCAGCAGGGTTCTTCTGATGTTCTTACGATGGCCTTGGCCTCTATGCCTTGTTTTTAGCCCTCCAGAGGAACTGGCTGACCACTGTGTGAGACAGGACGCTGGACTAGATGGACTCCTGGTCTGATCCAGCAGGGCTCTTCTTATGTTTTTACAATGGCCTTGTCCTCTATTCCTTGTTTTTAGCCCTCCAGAGAAACTGGCTGACCACTGTGTGAGACAGGACGCTGGACTAGATGGACTCCTGGTCTGATCCAGCAGGGCTCTTCTTATGTTTTTACAATGGCCTTGTCCTCTATTCCTTGTTTTTAGCCCTCCAGAGAAACTGGCTGACCACTGTGTGAGACAGGACGCTGGACTAGATGGACTCCTGGTCTGATCCAGCAGGGCTCTTCTTATGTTTTTACAATGGCCTTGTCCTCTATTCCTTGTTTTTAGCCCTCCAGAGAAACTGGCTGACCACTGTGTGAGACAGGACGCTGGACTAGATGGACTCCTGGTCTGATCCAGCAGGGCTCTTCTTATGTTTTTACAATGGCCTTGTCCTCTATTCCTTGTTTTTAGCCCTCCAGAGAAACTGGCTGACCACTGTGTGAGACAGGACGCTGGACTAGATGGACTCATGGTCTGATCCAGCAGGGCTCTTCTTATGTTTTTACAATGGCCTTGTCCTCTATTCCTTGTTTTTAGCCCTCCAGAGAAACTGGCTGACCACTGTGTGAGACAGGACGCTGGACTAGATGGACTCATGGTCTGATCCAGCAGGGCTCTTCTGTTGCCCCTAACGGTAACAACGGAGGATCTCCAGGTGCCACCTGGAGGTTGGCAAAACCACGTATCCGAGTGAAGGCCGCTACGCTCGCCGCAGCGTCCACGCGGGCCTCCTAAGCGTCCGCTACACTGTACACACACGCCGTAACGCCGCGTACACACGACCGAGCGTGCAGTGCAGGCGCCCGGGCGCGGAGAGGGGGCCAGCGGCGGCGGCCTCTCGGGGAGAAGGCGGGAAGAGGCCGGCGGCCATGAGGGGGCGCTGGCCGCCCAGCCGGCAAAGCGCGGCCGCGGGGGCGCTCTAGGGCGGCAGCGGCGAGAGGCGCGGCGACAACGTCCCCGGCGCCCCCACGAGGAGGAGGAGGAGGAGAAGGAGGAGGAGGAGGGCTCGCCGGGAGCAGGAGGAGGAGGAGGCCGCGGGTTGCCCCAGCAACGGCGCTGGGGAGCCATGGCCAGGGGCGCTGGCGACGGGCCGCGGCCGGGCCTGCTGCTCCTGCTGGGCCTGCTGCTGCTGGTGGCCGGGCCGGGCGCGTGGTCGGCGCGGAGCCGCGGCGGCGCCGACAAGCAGAACAGCCTCCGGCGGGCGGCCAACGGCGTCTGCTGGACTAGATGGACTCATGGTCTGATCCAGCAGGGCTCTTCTTATGTTTTTACAATGGCCTTGTCCTCTATTCCTTGTTTTTAGCCCTCCAGAGAAACTGGCTGACCACTGTGTGAGACAGGACGCTGGACTAGATGGACTCATGGTCTGATCCAGCAGGGCTCTTCTTATGTTTTTACAATGGCCTTGTCCTCTATTCCTTGTTTTTAGCCCTCCAGAGAAACTGGCTGACCACTGTGTGAGACAGGACGCTGGACTAGATGGACTCATGGTCTGATCCAGCAGGGCTCTTCTTATGTTTTTACAATGGCCTTGTCCTCTATTCCTTGTTTTTAGCCCTCCAGAGAAACTGGCTGACCACTGTGTGAGACAGGACGCTGGACTAGATGGACTCATGGTCTGATCCAGCAGGGCTCTTCTGATGCTCTTCTGAAGGCCTCGGCCTCCATGTCCTGCTGTTGGCCCTCCAGAGGAACTGGTTGAGGCCACTGTGTGAGACAGGATGCTTTACTAGATGGACCCTCACTGGTCTGATCCAGCAGGGCTCTTCTGTTGCCCCTAACGGTAACAACGGAGGATCTCCAGGTGCCACCTGGAGGTTGGCAAAACCACGTATCCGAGTGAAGGCCGCTACGCTCGCCGCAGCGTCCACGCGGGCCTCCTAAGCGTCCGCTACACTGTACACACACGCCGTAACGCCGCGTACACACGACCGAGCGTGCAGTGCAGGCGCCCGGGCGCGGAGAGGGGGCCAGCGGCGGCGGCCTCTCGGGGAGAAGGCGGGAAGAGGCCGGCGGCCATGAGGGGGCGCTGGCCGCCCAGCCGGCAAAGCGCGGCCGCGGGGGCGCTCTAGGGCGGCAGCGGCGAGAGGCGCGGCGACAACGTCCCCGGCGCCCCCACGAGGAGGAGGAGGAGGAGAAGGAGGAGGAGGAGGGCTCGCCGGGAGCAGGAGGAGGAGGAGGCCGCGGGTTGCCCCAGCAACGGCGCTGGGGAGCCATGGCCAGGGGCGCTGGCGACGGGCCGCGGCCGGGCCTGCTGCTCCTGCTGGGCCTGCTGCTGCTGGTGGCCGGGCCGGGCGCGTGGTCGGCGCGGAGCCGCGGCGGCGCCGACAAGCAGAACAGCCTCCGGCGGGCGGCCAACGGCGTCTACCAGGGCGTCAGCGGCCTCTTCGGCGAGGAGAACGTGCGCGCCCTGCAGAAGGTGGGTCAGCCGGAAGGCGGGAGGGAGAGGGGAGGGCGGCCAGGTCGCCCTTGACGCCGGGCTCCGGGCGGGCGCGCCTGCCCGCCAGCCTCGCTTCCTCCACGCGGGGTGGTGCTGCAAAGGCTGCCTCGGAGCTCCTCGGCGGGGCCGCGCGGGGTTGTCCAGAGCGGTGCTCCGTCTCAGCCGTGAGCAAGAGTCCTGCTCCGTGAGCGCCTGGCATGGACAGTTGTGAGCGAGGCTTTTGGCCGCTGAATGAGCTGGCTCTGGAGCCCTCCTTCCGGAGCGAAGGCGACAATGTGAGACAAGGTAAAGGTCCCCTTGCTCGAAAGCCAGTCGAATCCGACTCTAGGGCTCCGGTGCTCCTCTCCGTTTCAAAGCCGAAGAGCCAGCGCTGTCCGAAGACGTTTCCGTGGTCATGTGGCCGGCATGACTAAACACCAAGGCGCACGGAACGCTGTTCCCTTCCCACCGAAGTGGTACCTATTTATCTACTTGCAATTTCTTGCTTTCGAACTGCTAGGTTGGCAGGAGCTGGAACTAGAGACGGGAGCTCACTCCGTCATGCGGCACACTCGGGTCTCGAACTGCTGAACTACCGACCTTCCACAGCCTGCAGTTCAGCGTCTTAACCACTTGAGCCACTGCAGCTCCTATGTGAGACAAACCGGAGGCTAAAAGACTCTGAGGTGGCAGATGTTTGCGTTTTGTTAAATGGTTTGCAAATAGTTATACATCGGCTCGTTGTTGCAGGCGTTATTGCATCCTTTTAGAAATGCTGTCCACGACCTTAATAGCTTGTATGGTTGTTGTTGTTTTTATATTTGTCGTACTTTTGGGGAAAAATTGAATAAAATATAAAGTTTAAAAAAACAACAACACCCTGTGAGCCAGCTTACACTAACTCTGCTTAGAGGGAACACTGCTCTGGAGCCATCCTTCCTGAGCGAAGACAAAAATGTGTGAGCCGCAGGCTAGAAAACTGTGAGCTAGCTCACACTAACTCAGCTTAGAGGGAACACTGCTCTGGAGCCCTCCTTCCTGAGCGAAGACAAAAATGTGTGAGCCGCAGGCTAGAAAACTGTGAGCTAGCTCACACTAACTCCGCTTAGAGGGAACACTGCTCTGGAGCCATCCTTCCTGAGCGAAGACAAAAATGTGTGAGCCCGAGGCTAGAAAACTGTGAGCTAGCTCACACTAACTCAGCTTAGAGGGAAACCTGGTAAGACAGTCTTGTCAGGGCCGAGCAAACTAGTTAGACCTTCTTATTAGGACCAACTGCAGTCACTGGGGTGTGTGGGGGGGAAGGTAGTTGTGAATTTCCTGCGTTGTGCAGGGAGTTGGACTAGATGACCCTGGAGTTCCCTTCCGGCTCTATGATTCTAGGACCGAGCAAATGGGCAGTGAATGTTGATATTTGTACATCTCCGTAGAAGAGAACAAGAGGAGTCCAGGAGCACCTTAAACACTTAAGAAAATTTGTAGCAGGGGATGAGCTTTCGTGAGTCACTGCAAGAGCTCAGGAGCACCTTAAAGACTGACCAAATTTGTGGCTGGGGATGCGTCCAGATCGGGGGCTTATACGGCATTGGGGGGGCCTGGGCGGAACTTGCCAAAAGTCGTGCTCCTTTGCTCTCCCAGTGCTATTTTGTCATTTGAAAGAAAAAGAGTGGGCGCTCAATGGGGGTTTTTACCAGTGCAAATGTTACGCCTTTAGAAGGAGTTTTTATTAGTTTAGAGCACTTCCATGCTGCCTCTCCAGGGAACCTGCGGGAGCCTTCAGCAGAGGCTGTAGGAAACTGAAACCGAGTAGGCGTTATTCTGGAAAGGATGACGGTTGTAATTCAAAGTTTGCTTGTCATTCAAAGTTTGCGCGGCATTACCTGAACTTTGCCTTCCTCTTTTCCAGATCTTGCACAAGCTCCTTTGAATTTCCTACAGCGTTGACTGAAGTTGGTGCTATGCAGAATTATTATTTTTTTAAGTACCGAGGTTAAGCTTAGGTGCCCATGTTAAGTGCTTGTGATGGGTGGATGGATGTTAATGTTATTTACAGATCGAGATGGGCAGCCGTGGTTTGGTATAGTGGTGAAGTGCGCGGACTCTAATCTGGGGGAACCGGGTTTGATTCCCCACTCCTCCACTCGCAGCTGCTGGATGACCTTGGGAAAGCCATAGTTCTGGCAGAGCTGTTTTTGAAAAAGAGCAGTTTCTGTCAGAGCTCTCTCAGCCCCACCTACCTCACAGGGTGTCTGTTGTGGGGAGGGGGAGGGAAAGGAGTTTGTAAACTGTTCTGAGACTCCTTTGGGTTGCGAAGGGTGGAGTATAAATCCAATCTCCTCCTCTTCTTCTGTCTGTAGCTGTAGAAAAGAGCAAAAGTCCAGGAGCATCTGAAAGACGAACAAAATTTGTGGTGGGGGAGGAGCTTTTATGAGTCACTTGCCAGTGTTCCCTCTAAGCTGAGTTAGTGTGAGCTAGCTCAGTTTTTTAGCCTCTGGCTCACACATTTTTTTGGTCTTCGCTCAGGAAGTAGGGCTCCAGAGCAAACTGATTTATGCAGTAGCCAAATTGCTCGCTCACAGCTTTAATGCCAGGAGCTCACAAAGCAGAATTTTTGCTCACAAGACTCCACAACTTAGAGGGAACATTGGTCACGGCTTACTTCTGCGGATTTGAAGACACGAGCCGTGACTGAGAAGAGCTCGTATCCTGCCACAAATTTTGTTAGTCTTTCAGATGCTCCTGGACTTTTGCTCTTTTTGATATCATTTGCAGTCCGCCTTCCTCCCTTGGACTCAGAGGGAGCCACAGAGCAAGTCAATACAATCGACAGATGGGACATTCAATAAACAAAGAAAGAGGATTAGGGTTGCAGAACCAACCGGAAGTGTAAGAAACAGAAGCATGGGGTGTTAACATGACGCATTAAATGATGCAGAGTTACACAATAGGATCCAGCCCACAGCTAGCTATACACAGGCTCCGGTCACACGGGCTGGAAAATGCGGGGGGGGGGGAGCGTGGCTGTTTGCCCTGGAGCAAAATAACGCATGGCTGCGCAAAAAATAACACGCGACTGCGAGATCAGATGTCCGGTTGAGGTCCCATGGCTAGGGGGGAGGTGCCGATCACACCACAGGCAAAGAAGCGGGGGGGCGCGGCAACCGAGGCTGTGTTGTTTTTTTAAAAAACTGAAGTGTGCGCATGCTCCGTTGGGTGCTTGTGCGCATCCCATGGAGACTTGGGGGGGGTCTTTTTGCGAGGGGACATGGGCGGGCGCCGGATGCCACCGGAAACGCGATCAGGCGCGTGCCCTTGCCCCGCGGTTTCCGGAAACTAGTACCTCGGAGGTACTAGTTTTTTACCCCGCATCTTCAGCGGGAAGCCTCGGGTGAGCCACAGGAGCTCTACGCTTCCCAGATGTGGCAGTGTGATCGCGCCTGGAAAATCCGCCTATCTTCCGTGTCTGTAGCGTGGCTAATGCTCCGTGTGACCGCAGCCACAGTAGTACAGACCACAGTCCCCAGTAATTTATCCAAGCAACTTTGTGAAGCCTTATGTTCAGGTGGGTAGCCGTGTTGTCTGAAGCGACAGAACAGAGTTTGAGTCCAATGGCACCTTTAAGACCAACAGTGTTTGATTCTGGGCATCAGCTTTCATGTGCAGGCACACTTCAGATACCTACGTCTTTGAGTATCTGAAGAAGTGTGCATGCACGTGAAAGCTTATAATCAGAATGAAACTTTGTTCGTTTTAAGGGTGCCATTGGACTCGAACTTGGCTGTTTTGTGGAGCCTTGTGGACAGCGCTACCGTGTTGCCTGCGTAGAAAGCCCTCTTGAATAACTCAGTTTTGCGTAGTTTGTGGAAAGCCAGGAAAGCGGGAGCCTCCGTGCCCCCCCCCCTCAAGCAGGCCATTCCACAAGTTTGGGGCCATTACGGAGAAGGCCCATACAGAATTTTAAAACAATGCAACACTATTTACAGTCTTCTGCTTTCCCCCATGTTTCATTTAGCTTCAGCAAGCAACGGAAAACATAACCTCCATAAAGCAATTTGCAGTCCAGTAAACTAATATATGAGGTTGCAGTATTTAATAAATGGGGCAGGAGTCAGAGGAAGAAGATGCTCATCTGTGTATGTCAAACATGACCGGATGTAGTATAGCAGAGGTGAGTAGAATGTAGGCCTCAGTCCAGGAGTGGACTGCCGGCAGGGCTGCCTCCTGGTTGCAGAGACTTTAGCTAAGAATGCTGGATTAAGCGGACTTTGATCTTAACTAGCAGTCTCTCCACCCCAGGAGGCTCAGCAGGTGCAGTTCTCCTTCACCTGCCAGAATTTGTCTGTTGGGTGGTTTTACGTGATCTGAGGAGGGAATTTCTACTTCTGCAAACTTTCCTCCCCTCTGCATAACACCCTGTGCCCGTCGAAAGTCCCTCTGCTACACCAGCAGCTTTCAGTTACTGAGGACTCAACACTTAGGCCACAGCCTGTCCTAAGGAGTGTTGTGTTAGTTCTGGGGTCCCCACCCTTTTTGAACCTGTGGGCCCCCTTGCAATTCTGATACTGTGTGGTGGTCACAGCCGCAAAATAGCTGCTGCAGGAGGTATAGCGGACTATAAAATGGCTCCCGCGCTGCACCTTGCCTTCAGTCACACAGTGAAGAAGAGATTGGATTTATACCCTGCCCTTCACTCAGAGCGGTTTACAATCTCCTTTCCCTTCCCCTCCCCACAACAGACACCCTGTGAGGTAGGTGGGGCTGAGAGAGCCATGAGAGAACAGCTCTGAGAGAACTTGTAACTGACCCAAGGTCACACCAGCAGCTTCGTACGGAGGAGTGGGGAATCAAACCCGGTTCTCCCAAGTTAGAGTCCACTAAACCAAACTGGCTCCTTGTGCTGTAGTGGCAACTGCTACCAACTCAGCCTGTTTAAAACTCAGCACAGCCAAACTTCCGATGCCCAATCAGAAGCCTTCTTGGGCAACAGGCTACTTGGCCATGCCCACTTTCTTAAAAATGCTTCGTGGGCACCATAAAAGGTGTTGCCGGGTGCCACGGTGCCAATAGCTGCCACGTTGGGGACCATTATGTTAGTTAATTTTCCTTTTAAAAGAAAGATACAGGATGACTAAATGCAAAGGGTGAAAGGAGACCTGTGCGAAGCACATTTTCCAACAGGAAAAAATTGAGTCGTGGGGAGAGGCCGTGGTTCAGTGGCAGAGCACATGCTTTTCGTGTTGAGAATCCCCTGTTTAGTTCCTGACGCATCCAGTTGTGTCGGGAGGGGAGGGTTTCAGCCAGTGCAACTTATCCAGTCCTGCAGAATGGTTGAGCTGCCCTCCACTCAAATAGGGGATCTGGGAGGTGTCGCTACCAAAAGCCGTGGAGTCCTGTGAGCAGAAATTGTACTTTGTGACCTCCTGGCATTAAAGTGAGCGAGTGATTTGGCTACTGCATAAATTACTTTGCTCTGGAGCCATCCTTTCTGAGCTGAGACAAAAATGTGTGAACTGGAGGCTAAAAAACTGTGAGCTAGCCGAAGAATAGATTCTTTTGAACTATGGTGCTGGAGAAGACTCTTGAGAGTCCCTTGGACTGCAAGGAGATCAAATCAGTCAATCCTCAAAGAAACCAACCCTGACTGTTCCCTGGAAGGCCAGATAATGAAACTGAAGCTCAAATACTTTGGCCACCCAATGAGAAGGGAGCACTCACTGGAGAAGAAAGCCTCTTGAGAGTCCCTTGGACTGCAAGGAGATCAAATCAGTCAATCCTCAAAGAAACCAACCCTGACTGTTCCCTGGAAGGCCAGATAATGAAACTGAAGCTCAAATACTTTGGCCACCCAATGAGAAGGGAGCACTCACTGGA